CCTCTCCGTCTCCTTCCATCTCTCTCTAACATCCTCTTTCTCTTCTCCCTCTTCCCGTCTCTCCCAGGCTCCCCTTCTCCCTCTCCGATCTGCACAGGTCACATTAAATATCCGTTTGATCGATTGGCTACTAAACGGATATACTTAATATACTACGGAGCAACTCTCACTAGGATACGACCAAGAAGAATGGTGCGAGAGAGGTCACTTTCGAGTAACTCCCCTATATTAAAGATATATACGTCTGTCTTTCTGACTGTCTGTCTGTTTGTTTTTCTCTCTCTCTGTCTATCTATCTATCCCTCTCTTTCTCAGTATTTCGTTTTTGGAAGTTTCTCGAGTTGGGTGATTTTCTCTCTCTCTCTCTCTCTCTCTCTCTCTCTCTCTCTCTCTCTCTCTCTCTCTCTCTCTCTCTCTCTCTCTCTCTCTCTCTCTCTCTCTCTCTCTCATTCTCTTTCTTTCCGTATGTCGTAAGTTTCTGGAAGTTTCTCGTTATGATATTCTTTTAAAGTCCTCGACATGACTTGAGTATCGATTCGACAATGTACCAACCACCCAGACATCAAAATTCTCATTCTACTGTTTACCTTTGGTGTTCCTTATTTCGTAACACACACACACACACACACACACACACACACACACACACACACACACATCACACACACACACACACACACACACACACACACACACACACACACACACACACACACACACACACACACACACCCTCACCGCCTTAGTGAACATCCTATATGTCACCCTTTCCGCTATCACCCGCGCCCACACTTATATTACCATTATGCACACCCGCACGCACGCACCCTCGCTGTCAACACCCGCGTCCTTGTTTGAACTACCTAGTATCTAGTGAATATATAAGCACCCTTAGATTACCAGTCACCCTTACATTACGTTATCACCGTACGAGAGTTCGAGAGTTATTGTCATCCATGTCTTTCACGTCCTAATGCTGGTATCATCCAACCATTGCATAAAAGATAAGCAAAGATAAAAACAACAACCATTTTCACAATAAGAAAACACTTATAAGTCAACCCTTAGCATTATTTATACACTGAATTTTACTAAGAAAGCATAATTCACGAGAAGCCATAAACATTCCTGACCGGAAATGAATTTTGTAAATCGATTATAGTGTTTCCTTAAAATCGCAAGTTGCAGTCCATGTGTCGACGCGCAGTCTGTCTGTAACAACGCTGGTTGTATTGTCACGTAAAGCTACAAATGTCGGTCTGGTATCTTCCTTGGTATCCTAATATGAGCTTGATGAGTACCAGGTCTTATGTTCTCGGTTATTTCGTGACTGGTATTAAGTTTCTTTATTCTTGTGCTCATTGCGTTAGTCTTATCTATCTATCGGCGTTCTAATGCCCTCTCCCTCGTTGTTCATCTAGTTTAGGTAAGGCATGGTTTGTACTCGTATCAATTTCTGTAAGTTCGGTTTCAGTTTGTTTATTTACTTTTCCAATCCATATATATGCACATCTAGATTCATATCTATACATTTCTTAATTTCTCTTTCCCTCTCACTCACTCTCATTCTCTCTCTCATTCTCTCTCTCTCTCTCTCTCTCTCTCTCTCTCTCTCTCTCTCTCTCTCTCTCTCTCTCTCTCTCTCTCTCTCTCTCTCTCTCTCTCTCTCTCTCTCTCCCCCTCTCTCTCTCTCTCTCTCTTCAATTTGATCTTGTGAACGCTAAGCACCATATTTTTTTACATGCAGGCATAATCTCTGTCCCATCTATCACTAACCAATCAACTCGCTCTTTTCTTATCACGAACCAAAATAAAAAGGCATCTACTCCTTTGCCCAAGTAAACAAACACAAAGGCCCATCAGTTGCCAGATTTCCAATCGTCGAGAATAATATTTACACAATGAAGCCTCCCGCGATATTCTCTCGCTGTTGTCACGTTCTCACAATGCTGTAGGAGAGGCTTTCCCCGTAGTTCTGATTTAGTCGTAGGGTCTTGTTGTGGGGAGGAGCTATCTATTAAGGCATCAATTAGGTACAATGAAAGATAAGACACCTGACCGCGCGAACTCGTAAGATGCGTTCAAGGACTTTAAATGCATTCGGAGAGAAACTGCGCGTGAAGTTGAGTTATCGGTTCTTCGGCTTATGGATTTAGAAGCATCGGTCCTTGTCATCAAAGATCATTTTCCTCCCCTCCCTCCCCCCAATATCAACGACGATGTAAATGACATGGGGGGAGGGGAGCACAAAGTCAAGCATTGAGTCATATCACAAGTCCATTTTATCTGACTTAAGAGTAAATCTTTTAATTTAGTTTATTAATTGATGTCTCTCGCCCTCTTCCATGTATACCATAGACATACACTATAACCTGGAGGGAACTCAACCAAATTAACTGAGTCAGTCCGTTCATTAAAACTCGGTAAAACCAATTATAATAATCACAATAACAGCAAAAAAGAAGAAAAAAAAAGGTCACACATCGCCAAAAGAACTCAC